GCTGTTTGGCCGCCACCCATCTGCCCCCATTTTTTTCAATTCAGCGCTGCTTGCATAAGCGGCAGCGCTGCATGCAAAATTTTTTTTTTTTGGCCGAGCATATGCTCTTTTCTTTCCTCCAAGCCACAACAAAGTTGTTGCTAAAAGAGAATACAACAGCCATGCCACAAACAACTTCGCTTGCCAGCTTAGGTAAAAACAAGCATAATTGGTCTGGTCCTTCTTTCGTCTTATGCGACCATTGTCAACGAAAATTACATGGTAAAGCTTTTTACTCTATGTCGATGTTTTGGCTATCTCGTCAACATCGTAAACACTGGCCAACCATATTAAACAACTTTGACCAAAAACTCAAACCATATAACATAACAAGCCACAACTTCACTCCAACGGCGGTGATTTTGTTGTTGCAACGCCGTTAGTGTCTATATAGCTCAATCCTTCACTTATTGGACAATCTAACATAAAAATCAATAAATTGTCTAGCTAGCAAGACTGCAACATGCACATGCAATATGTCATGATATTCACACGTAACACAATCTTTGAAGCCAATCAGAAACAGAGTTAACTCGTACCTGTAAGATTCATGCAAGATGGCACTATGAAAGTTGAACGTTGATCCTCCTTGGCACCAAGGTAGATTTCTTCTACAATGTCGGAAACACTGCTTCCTTTCCCACCTCGTTACTCGCATCGTCGCCGTTGATCGGCAACCCCTCCAGCAAGGCCGTGATTTCGGCCTTCGTCACCCTCTCTTGAGGTGGCTTACTCAGATTTTGGTGGACCACCTAATGCAAGCATTGATGGTCTCACAATCTCTGACAACGAGTTCAAGCACGCCTTACCCAACACCTTTGTGCTTGAAACTGCGACGTTGCATGGTCCCCCTTCCATACTCCTAATTTTTTGAGAACCAAGGTCCTTGTGGTACAAAAGAGCTTCGACAATGTTGCCCCCCACAATGTTGACCATATTGACGCCCACACCGTTGGGAAACGGGTCAGTGCCAACAATCATGGCCTCCTTCCTCGGCTCCGGTACCTTGAAGCGACCTTTTTCAATAGCATCCTGCACCACGTTTCGAAACACTACACACATATTAGTTGAGTGAGACACATTGTTGTGCCACTTACAGTAGCGTTTTCCTTTTAATTTTTCAGCTGGCGGGATAGTATGCCCCCCAGTTAACTTAATTTGACCAATTTTGTAAAGCTGGTCAAAAATCAACTCTGATTTCGAAGCATCAAAGGAATATTTCCTAGTTTGAATTGGAGCACGACTGGGCTTTCCACCTTGTGGTTCCCCATCGGCCTTGGCCAGAGAAGCACACACATATGGCTTCCCCTGCACAATCTCGGCCAAATCAACTTCAACCTCATCAACATCGTTGCCGACGTTATTCACACCATAGTGTTCAAAATTAGGGAAATATTGTCCACGAGAGCCACTTCTCTTATGTTCTTCTTCATGAAGAAGAGATTCGTATCTAACAGCGCAGGACATCAATTGAAACAAATCAGAAAACTCCCTATCTTGAAACTTTTTACGAAGTTCAAAATTCAATCCACCCTGGGCCAGTTTAACAAACTCGCGTTCTGTCAAGTTTACAAAACAGCGATTTCTTGCATTTTTAAAGTTTGTTAAAAAGTGTTCCACTGTTTCTCCTGGCTGTTGGCGCATTCATGCCAAGGCTGCCATTGTTACTTCTGGCTCAGAACGGTAGAACTGGGCATGAAACATTTGTTCCATTTGCTGCCAAGTTTGAACCGAGTTCGATGGCAAGTTGACGTACCACGCGAATGCAGGGCCGGTCAACAAGTTGCCAAACAAACGCAACTTCAAGAAATCACTCACATCACCACACTGAACCATGAATCGTCCAACATGCTCGACGGTGGACTGATCCCCAGTCCCGCTGAAGGTGATGAAATCAGGCACGCGAAAACCACGTGGAAAGGGGTAGTATCTATCAACCCAATCCGGATATGGTTTTCGATACACCGGCGGCATCGCTGGTCTAATCCCTAAACCAAACTGATCCGCCAGCATCTGTGCTACTTGATCTCGAATCACATTAATGTCTTGCCCCCCTTGTGGTACGAATCCACCAGGATCCATGCCAAGCCCGTTTGGAGGAGGAGGCACGTTTTGTGGGTAGCCGCGTTGCGGAACATGATCATTGTTGATCGTTCCTCCACCACCAGCACCGCTCATCGGAGCCACGTAGGGTCTGGCCTCCGGGATATTTTGTGGACCCACATTGTGCACTGGTGGCGGCTCAACACGAGTGTTAGCCGCAGTGCTGGTCTCGCTAGGATTTACTCTCGACGGACTTGTTGGGTTCACCACCGGTGTCGGCGAAACGCCCTGTCTCGACTGAGTATCTCGGCCGCCATTGATCGGAAAGCTATTGGTGCCAATGTCGTTGTGTAACGGATTCTCGCCGCTTAACGGCAAAGCCCTTGTTTGCGGCACTGGCCTATTCAAAAACTCTCTAAAATCATTAAAATCACGTCTGTTACTTTCAAAATCCATTCTGTTTTTATCTACGACTTCAACCAGTTGGCTAACATGTCTATCAATCCGAGAACTAAGACCATCAAGACGTCCATCCAAAGAGGCTAAGTGAAGTTTTACCTGTTGGTTATCAGCCATGACTTGGTCAGGTACAAACCCAAAGTCAGCAACAACCGTCAAATATCCGCCACCGAATGTCGGCGCCGTTGATTTGATCGATTAAACAGAAACCAAGATGACTGTCAAATATCCACCGCCGGTGTCGGCGATGTTGATTCGATCAATACACCTTTGACTTCTAATCAAACAATCGTTACTCGGTTCACCACCTCTCCAAACTACGTTCGAACGAGGGTGTTCAACGAGAAACCAAACCGGGAGTGTTCTAAGTTATGTTACCTCTACTCCTATGGAGGTTCCTCTGGAGAGCTCCGCAACTACGACTACGACTACTACGACTCTGCAAAGGAGGTCTTTGACAGAGAAGTTCTACGAACTAGAGAGAAAAAGATAAATCTGCGTAGGTGCAGTTTGTGATTTGATTTTGCCGTCCTCAGCTTCTCTCTCTTCCCAATCTTTATACTTCGCGCTTCTCCCCGTCGTAGTAACTGCCTTGGCGCCTTTGTCTCCCACGTCTTCATTCCTGTCAACCGTGCAGGTAACTTCCTCCTTGTTGCGTGATAATCACGTGCCCTTGAAACCGCTCTTGCTTTGCAGAAACTTGGCGAAACGACTTACAACCTTGTCCATGTACCGATGATGTTTCACCAATACCACGACATCGCCTTTCACCAACCGATGTCGTTTTATGATCCAACTCAACTGCCCCGACCCGGTTTAACCAACGACATTGTTAGTCCATCAAACAACGTCGTTCTATACTCTTGTGACGCCGTTAGGCTTGGTGGGCTGCCTTCGGCCGAATTCTTACCACTACCGCGATGTCGTTTTACTTTTCCGCGGCATCGCTTTTCATTAAACGACACCGTCTAAAATACTCATAAAATACTGATTTATTCAACCGGCCCTCATTGTTAACTCGCCATCAAACTCTCACCCCGGCGTCGTTCTTGGTTAAACAACACTGTTTCCTTGTCCCGCGGTGTCGTTTCTTCCTCTTACGGAATCGCTTTCAACTAAACGGCACCGTGCTAAAAAGTCATTAAAATATTAATTAATTAATCCGGCCATCACTAGCTATGGCCAACGACATCGCTAGCGCCACCACAGCTCCGATTGTTTTTTCCTTTTTGCGACATTGTTTGTTATTTTAAACACTGTCGTTTGCTAATCCACGGTACCGTTGGGCTTATCGCGGTACCGTTTTTAATTCCGCGGCACCGTTTTAGCTCTCCGCGGTGCCGCTTCTCCCTATCCACCAAGGAGTAAAAAATAATAATAATTAATTAGAGTAAACAAAACTCATTCCCAATACTCACTAACGTGGGGGCCCTCTTTTGTTTTTTGGTGACCGGTACCGTGGTACCGCTGAGCTTCCTTGCGGTACCGTTTTAATTCTCCATGCGGTACCGATTTTCCCCTTCCTACAAGGAATAAAAGTAATAATTAATTATAAAACTCCCTTCTCCAACCCAACTACACGCGCGGCCCCTCTTGTTTTTCATTAAGCGGTGTCGTTTCCCATGCCGCGGTACCGCCGAGCTTCCTTGCGGTACCGTTTTACCTCTCCGCGACGCCGCTTAACTCTCAACAACACCGTTTTTTACCCGCGACATCGGATTAAATGCCGAGACTAATTAATGCGGCATTTAATTCCGGCCAAATTAATTTTAGGTGTCAACACTAATTAAAATTATCCAAATCTAAGTCACTGGAGGACTTTTTTGTTTGGGTTTTACATTAAACGTATGTAAAAACAAGTATGTTGATGATCAAAGAGAACCTTATACCTATTGTTTAGACTTAAAACTCAAATTTTCTAAGTGAGAATCAAGTATCCTTGTTCCTAACAAACTATATTAATTCTCTAGGTCTCACTAACAAAAATGACTCAGATCTCAATAACAAAAGTGTATTTTATTGCTCGAATCTTACATTGTGCGAATGTAAAAACAAATACTTTCGATAATCAAGATAAAACTTAAGATCATTGTCCAAAGTTGAACCCAAGTCTTCCAAGCAAGAATCAAGTATTCTAGTTTTTAACCAACTATATTACAAACAGATGATACTTTTCTTTCTACTTGCTTGCTCCAAAAAAATTCATGGCATTTTAATATTAGAAAGAGCTTTTCACACCTCAAGCATTAATGGAGAATTAACACCAACCAGTCTTGATTCTTCCAAGAAAAATGACAATATCACGCATCTACTCCTACATCTCCATTTCGTCGGTTGCCGCCGCTTTTTCAAGAACCCCAAAGCTCTTCCACCTCACGAACCCAGATCGCCCGCCAATTCCCCGAACTCCCCATTTCTGCACAAAACCTCCGATCGTCATCATCTTGCCTCCAAATTCCATGGATGCCAATTCCCCACCTCAAACCATCCCAGTGGTCTCCACTTTCGCCAATCCCTTCGACAGCCAGAACCCTCCTCTACCCCCCGCCGCGACCTCCAACGGCGCCGGCGACACCGCCGCACGCAAGCCCATCGCTCTGTGGCCTGGAATGTACCATTCCCCGGTCACCAATGCTCTGTGGGAGGCCAGGTCCAAGATCTTCGAGAGAATGATCGACCCGCCAAAGGACGCGCCTCCGCAGAGCGAGCTGCTCTCCAAGACGCCTCACCAGAGCCGTACCAGCATCTTGTACAATTTCTCTAGTGATTACATACTCAGGGAACAGTATAGGGATCCTTGGAATGAGGTCCGAATTGGGAAGTTGCTCGAGGATCTTGATGCTTTGGCTGGCACCATCTCTGTCAAGGTATCCTCATCGTCATCTGTCCCCCTTTTGCTATTTTATCTTAAGAACCAGTTCAGGAACTTGAATTTGTTTGGAAAGACTTTCGATTTTAGAAGCTCCGATGTCATATTGTCATATCAATAACTACAGTGCCATGCCCTCGTTACTTGGGTGGTTACTTTTGAAATGTGGTGTTGGATTGTTGAATCAAGTAATCAGAAGTCACAGTTTTTAAGTCTTTCTGGTGTTCATGTTGATCAGCGAGAAATGAAGCTTTTGTTTTGATGGTATGCATATAATTGCGGGTTAAATGTTGCCTAAAGGGTCACTAAACTGTGGGGTTTGACATTTATAAGCAATTAAAGTTTGGAACTTCATTTTAACTTTGTAAGAGCTAGCGTGGATAATTGGAAATGTGTTATGGGAGTCTCCGGTTGAAGCCCCATGATGTAGATCAGCTGGAAAGCCGGATCTTGTTTATGAATGTTATGGGTGGAGTTTGTGCAATGGATTAATGCTGTGCAAATGAAGAGTGTCTTCCCATTTTTTATTCAGTTTTTGTTGTTGCTTATTTGTTGTTATTAGCACTGTTCTGATGAAGATAGTACAACAAGGCCGCTTCTGCTAGTCACAGCTTCTGTTGATAGGATCGTTCTGAAGAAGCCAATTAGTGTCGATGTTGATCTCAAGATAGTTGGTTCTGCCATATGGGTTGGGCGTTCGTCGATTGAGATTCAACTGGATGTTATTCAGCCTGCTAAAGGTACGCTTGAATACATGTGGTATGTGATGAACTATCACAGTTCCATGATGCTAAGATAGGGTAAATGGTCAGTAAGCGAGATGTCTTAACAATAACAAAGCTAAGTGGTTTGCAAGAGATACAACACGTCACCTGATTCTGCCTAGTCTATTGTTCGTTCTGTCGAGTCAGCATGGCCAAATAGCTTCGCCATTTCTTGATAATCGGCATGTCAGGACCTCAGTCATCTACTCCACTTAAACCTTTTCATTTCAACGCAAACTATACTCGCAATTCTTTACAACCCCACGAACCTCACCTATCCTTGAATTGGGAAAGGTTGGATCAGATGGGTGCATGTGCTGTTGCGCTTCTGATGTGGAGATTTTCTCGGGGACAGGTTGAAGCTATATGCCATGCTGACTCAACTAAGCTTACAGCAGACTAGTCATCAAAGTGATTCTGTCCTTACAGGTCACTTAAGTGACTTTTTCAATGTGCTTACAGTACAATGGCCGTTTTGTTACAAGCCCTAGCAGTTTTCTGGCTATAATTTAGGCACTTAAGCCATGTTAAAAGGTTTGAATCTCTGTGTTTCAAGAAAGCATCTGAAATTCTGAATGATTGTCTCTGTGTTTCGACAAAGCATCTAAAATTCTGAATGGTTTACAACTAGTTTTCATCCTCCGTTGTTTCCCGCCTTCGTAATCATAACTTCCACAGCATTGTTTGGTAATTAATAAGCTACAAACCGCAGAGGACTCTGATTCTTCAGACGCCGCAGCACTAACAGCCAACTTCATATTTGTGGCTCGAGACTCCATGACCGGGAAAGCTGCACCAGTGAACCGACTAATCCCGGAGACCAAACAAGAGAAATCGCTCTTTGAAGAAGCCGAAGCGAGGAGCAAGCTGAGGAAGAGAAAGAGAGTGGACAATGATGGTAGAAAAGAAGTTGAAAGTGGAGAAATGAATCGACTCAAAGCATTGCTAGCCGAGGGGAGAATCTTCTGCGACATGCCAGCATTAGCAGACAGAGACAGCATTCTTTTAAGAGATACCTGTCTTCAGAATTCACTCATCTGCCAACCCCAGCAGAGGAACATCCACGGCCGAATTTTTGGAGGCTTCTTGATGCACCGGGCATTCGAGCTGGCTTTCTCCACTGCTTATGCATTCGCAGGGTTGGTGCCTTACTTTCTTGAAGTCGATCACGTGGATTTCCTAAGACCTGTGAGTATTTATTCGAAGTTCTTGCAATTGATTGAACTTCTGTTTTGTCTGCGTTAGCTCACCGTTGCCTAAAATCGCGATCTTACGCATGATATCTTTAGAGATTCCCTATTGAGTTTGGTTGTTTTGCAACAGGTGGATGTGGGGGATTTCCTGCGCCTCAAGTCCTGTGTCTTGTACACAGAACTCGAAAACCCAGATGAGCCTCTAATCAACGTCGAAGTTGTGGCTCATGTCACCAAACCGGAGCTGAGAACCAGTGAGGTAAGCCAAGTAGAATTGCCAAATGATACTCTTGCACCGAACACCGAGTTCTCGAATGAGGATTTTGGCATTTGCTAATTGTGTGTGGGTTTTGGAACAGGTGACAAATACGTTCTACTTCACCTTCACGGTAAGGTCAGAGGCGAAAGCTGCAAAGAATGGGTACAGGATTCGGACTGTGGTTCCTGCGACGGAGGAAGAAGCGAGGCTCATTCTGGAGAGGAAAGACGCAGAGACCTTGCGTTTAGCCTCGGCGTAACTACGACAGTTGTGCAGCACTTAGTTTTAACACCACTAGTATAGTTCTTCAGTGTTGAGCAACCAGTCAATTTTGCTGGTTGAAGCTGACAACTGAAGCAGGAAGCAGGATCAGTAAATAAGAAAATGGATTTAAGTAAGCAATGTTTTATTACTACCCTGGTTAAAGTTTAGAGCAAAGGAAGTGGAGAGTAAAAATGGTTTGTAGGTAAAAATTACAATTCATGTTATACATTAGTAGTATTAAAGTCGGATTGTCTCAACTTGCATTTTCTATATCTGAATAGAATCCCGAATCATTAGTTTGGACAGGGGATCATACATTATCCATTAGCATGCCATCATCTCCAGCAAAAAGAAACCATCTTTCTATATATACTAATCTACACAGACCATATAAACCAGCAAATTACAAAAATCTCTCTTCGCGGATTTGTACAGAAACTGGGGGCAGATGAGTTGCAGAAAACCCAGCAGATCATTTTTCTTTCCTCATGGCAGTTCACCTTCATCCTCGGAAAATGAACTGCATTGTGCCTGAGCCAGCATGGGATTCACCGGAACAGGGAACTTATACACCGATGAGCTAACAATCGTTCGTTCGTTTATCATGCCAACTTCTTTGCAAACCCTATCGAGAACCAAGAGGAAGTCCCTCACAACCATGAAGATCCTAAAAGGGTGAGCTTCTTCTTTCGCCGAGTTTCCATGGAAATATTCAGTAATCTCCTTCACCAATGACAATGCAACACTCTCTTGCGCCTGAATCCTTATAATCTCCCCCTCGGACATTTCTAAGAACTTGTTCATCGACTCTGAGAACTTCCCACTTCCACTCAGCCCTAATCTCTCATTCAACTGCACTACCTCAATTATCTTTTCAATGCCGACAGAAAGCTTGGCGACCTCACTGCTGAGCACATCAGAGTCCATAGCAGCGGATTTTCTGACATTGCTCAACTCCAAGCTTAAACTTGACACCACTTCCAACCCAAGTTTCCTGCACTTGACCTCATCACATGATGAGGGGGCGGAATTCATGTATCCCTCCAAGGAGGGACGAGCTCCCTCAGTTCTTATAATCTCCTGTACCACGAAATGGAGCAAAGTCGTCTTGCCATCTATGCCCTTGACATCGGCCAGCTTGAGGAGCGTGTCAAGCTTGAAAGCACGAGCATCACCACGGTTTGTCCCTACATTCATACGGTTTCCTGTCTTGAGCACGGCTTCCAGAAGCTTCAGGAACATCCTGCTGCTCCTCAGCTCTTCACATGCTGCCTGTTGTTGAAAACAAACAAAGACTCGAGTCAATTACAACTTCCATGAGCCATCCATCAATGGTTTTATGATCAAAGCTTTGAGTGTTTCGTTATTTTACCTCGAGGGTTTCAAAGGACTTCCTGAGATACTCAGTCTCGGAATCAAAGTTGGCCATGTACATCATTGCATCGACTCTTTTAAAGGCGAACGGGACATCGAGGACTGCCTTGAGGAACTTCTCTGCATGACCGAGCTTCACTGGTGAATCGTCATTATACTCCTTCAGCTTTCGCTCCTCTTCCTTACTAGGTGCCATCTTCATTAAGCTCTCCAGCAGCTCAGTTCCAAGAGTATCAGTACTACCTGCAATTGCCAAATTGCCAGATTTAGCAGCTGGAACCTCAATAGCCAGAGAACAGTTCAGTTAAAAAGCAGTTAAGAGGCAATCATCCCGATGATCCTAAGAGATTCATTAAATTTGAACCCTCAACAAGTCTAATGAGCAATCAAGCTCATAATTTGCTGAATGTTAATACAAAATGGTGAAGTATTTACCCTCTAAGAGAGCTTCACAGACTTCCTCTATGGTGACATTCAAAGCTCTCAGCAAGATTGCAATGTTCTGTGCTCTTTTCGGATCAAGAACCCTATTTTCCTGATTTCCAAATAGATTGAATGGAGTCGGAGTTCCTGGTGATGGCTTTGTTTTCGGGGCATTTGCCACAAACAATTCCTCGATCTTCTCCTCATTCAATCTGCAACAAGAAACAGATTATAATGTAAATTTCAGATTTGAAATCCAAATGGGGAAAGGATTCATTATTCATTTGTCATTTCAGTTCCGATTCTTACTTGAACGAGCTGGACCCAATTTGATCCCAAACCATTTCGCGATCGGAGCTAGCTCGAACTTTGTCCCAATGTAAAGGCTTCAACTTTGGCTTGGGAGTCTCTTGGAAGTGATCCTCTGCTTCAGCATTCGGAGGCAGTTGAATCGGAGATACTTTCGTCGGCGGCGTTTGCAGCACAAACTGCCTGAACGGGGGTATAAGCAACGGCGGGGCAGCTGCCGAAGTCGAAATTAACTTGCCTTCTGGTGTCGATGCCACCGGAGAAAATTCCATCTGTCTCGGCGGTAGTGGGGGCGGAGGAGGAGGAGGGGGCGGCGGCGGAGCTGAAATTGGCTGCTGACCAAGAACAGAGCTCATCTTAACATTCAGCCCAGAGACGTTCAATCCGTCAGCCGAAGACCGATCAGGGCTCTTCTCGAAACCCGGCGATGAAGAAGCTAATGAGAATGACGGCGACATTTTAACGGCCATGGCGGACGGAGAGGAAAGTGGATGTCTTTCAGGAGAAGTCCAAGCGGAGGAAAGCAACGATGACGGCTGGGCATTGTTAGGCTCCATATCATTGGACATTCGGGGGGGTTGAGATTTCTCCGACGAAGATGAAACTCTGTCCGGTGACGCAGCGGAAGAAGAAGAAACCGACAGTGACCGCACATTTTGATTCAGAGCGTTCCATAGCTTGGGCGAAGAAGCAGCCGATGCAGTAGAAACAGGGGAACCTAAAGAAGAAAGCTTCCCCATCTGTTGCTGATTCTGATTCAGAATCCTCGCCGGAGACAGCGACGGCGACCTCACATTCCGATCCGGCGAGATTCGCTTCATTTGCTCGATATCGAAAGAAATCCTCGGCGAAGACGAAGCAGACAACGACGGCGAAACAGACGCCAACAACTCATTCTCATTCCGCCGCGGCGGCATCGGCGGGCAAGGCGGAGCAGGCGCTGGACCCGGACCCGGATAAACGACCCGAGCAGATTCAGGGGAGGACTTCCTATTATTCCGCGGGGACAAACTCACGGGGGGAGAAATGCTAACCGACTGAGACCTCGCCGGAGATCCAGACGACGAATCGGAAGAGCAAGAAGTCGAATCAGTAGTCCCTCCTTCTCCGAAATCCGGACCCGGGCCACCCACAGCCCGAAACATCCTCCTCGACCCGGATCCCGCCCCGACCGAACCATCCCTCCCTCCGCCGCCCAACGACCCCCTCGGCGAATAAAACTCCTCTTCCTCAGCATCCTCAGGGGAACCAAAACCATCCGGATTCCGGCCATGATGATTCAGCGGCGGGAGCGGCCGGAGTTCCGGCGAATCCATCTTCCCCACAACCGGAGACTCAATGGCAGCAAGATTCGACCCGCCACCATCCCCAATCCCATGGGTATTAACAAGCGTCCCAAGATACAAAAACTCCGAGCTGTTATTAGTGGGTCGGAGCTTATTCCTGGATCCGGAGCCCCGATCCGGATTCACGGCGTAGAATCTGGTACTGCTCTGGCGGTCGGACGAGGCGTGGGTCTTGGCATCGTGACTGGGAGGAGGGCTGTTGGCGGTCCGGCGTCGGCGGCAGAAGCAGAATGCGAGGACCGCGGAAACGACAACGGCGGCGGCGAGGAAGGAGAGAGAAAGGGCGAGGAGCTTGTGGGAGGAGGAAGGGGAAGGCTTTGAGGAAGGGGATTGAGGGAGGATCAATGAGGAGATGTTGGCGGGGAAGGAAGCGAATGTGGAGGGAGACGGCGGTGGAGGCGGGGAAGGGTAAGTTGGGAAGAACGGGGAGTTGGGATTGGTGTTGGTTGGGGTGCCGGGGGAGGAGGAGAAAGGGAGCTTGGCCGGCGGTGAAGGTAGAGGGAGGGAAGAAGGGGAGGGTGCGGGAGGGAGGGTGTCGACGGGGAAGAAAGGCTGGTGGAGAATGCGGCGGACGGGGAAGGCGACGGAGCAGCGGTGGAGGAGGAAGAAGAAGATGAAGTAGGAAGGAAAGGGCATTGTGTGGAAATGTGGAAAATACTCTGTTAACGTTTCTCTCTCAAAGCTCAGATGAGAGCTGAGTGAAAGAGAAAGGGAAAAGGGAGGATTGGGGGGTTTTTGAGGGAGAGAGACAGAGAGAGAGAGAGAGGAAGCATCCAGCTAAGATACTGCTCTCTTCTTCTGCTACTCACTAGCTACTGCGCTACTCGAGGCGAGGGAGTGAGAGAGGAGGAAAAACAGGGGAAGGTATACGCTAACGTTACGCGGTCAAATATTAGAACAACATCATTATGTTTTCTATTTTGTGCTGCTGCTATTTCTTTTTGGGTAATTTTTCTGTATAATCCACACATACCCAGATACCCTGTTTGGCAACTAGCAGATTTTGAGAGGTAAATTGTATGGTGTAAATGGTGGGTATTTAGTAAAAATTGTCAAATAAATTTGTACTTGGTACAAAAATAGTCACTTCTTTTTAATTTGTGATCGTTTTGTATTAATTGCAAATGTTTGTTACCAAGTCGTTACAAATTTAAGTTTTCTGATCGTTTTGAAGTCGGATCGTGTGTTCGTCAAGTATATAACACTAATCACTTAAACAATATATGAGATCTTGGGTCGTGTGTTCATCGATATACTTGCTTTGCTGAATAAGAATTGTCCTCTATTCAACTTCCAATTTCAAAATCGAGAAAGTAAGAAAGTAGGCCGAGTTTTTTCAACTAAAAAATAGCTTTTAACCCTTTTGTGAGGAGTAGAATTCATCATTGTCATTCTTTGCTTTTTTTTATGCGAACTGCCATCTTTTGTTACGATCATATCATTCACATAAATTAACAAAGCCATCATACCTCGACTGGAGCGAATTGTAACAGTGATTGATCGTTCAAACCTTTGAACATTGTACAAAACTAACATCAAATGTTTAATTTGTAATCACACGGTAACAAAAGTTTGAACTTTTATGAAATAATCACACTGTTTAATTTGTGACTATTTTGTTCTTTAGAATGTAAAATTAGGAAAATAGAGTGCGGTAAGTAAATTATATTATTATAAAATATATTCATTAAATTTATAAAATATTATCACCAAATAAAAAAAATAAGAATGATTACATTTTAATCATAAATATTAGTAAATATACTTCAATTAAAGTAATTATTATAACAATTGTAATAATTATTGGTCAAGCAACCTTGAAGCATGAAGTCCAACTCGTAACTAATCATCCTGCAAAGTTTTCGTGCTTAGTTTAATTTTAAATTGGATATGGTCAAACTTAGTAAAATACCTTCGAATCTGCAAGTTTTAACTAACTAGTCAAGCAAACTAAGTCAACCAAACTGTTCATCTCTCTACCTTTTCCACAAACACTTCTTCTCTCTAATTTTCAATTCAAATTCGAGTCAACCAAGCGATTTCGATTTGACTAGATGAACATTGGCAAACTTGTTCTCCTCTTCCTATTCTAGAGAGAGAAAGTGTCATTCAAAGGAGGAGGAAGGAGATTGGGCTTGCCCTAAACTAGAGGAGTGAAGATTCTTACCTCTCAATGGAGATTCAAGCAAGCTAGGAGGAAGAAAGATTGTCATCTCTTCATGGTTCTTTCTCTCTTCTTTCTTGTTTTCTTTTGCCTAGCTATGGAATACCCTACCCTTTCACTTGGGTGTTTGTAAACCCTAGCTGCAATTATGTGAATGCTTGTATTAATTGAATGATTTGTGTGTGGTTCTGTTTAATGTGAATGTTGAGGTATTTTTCATGGTGATTGTGTGTGCTATGTTGACCTAGCTTAGAGAGGATACCTCCTTAGGATAAGAGGCTCAATTAGAGATGGGAATTCTTGGGCATTCCATGCCTCCTATGCTAGTTTAGAGAGGAAACCTCCTTTGTCCAAAGATGCTTAATTTGAGCTGGGTTTCCTTGGGCATTCAAGGTCTCCTATACTAGTTTAGAGAAAACCTTCATTAACCTAAGAGGCTCTATTAGAGATGGGTTTCCTTGGGCATTTTATGCCTCCTATTCTAGGTCAATTAAGGGCAAACCTCCTATTTCGTATTAGCACTTAGGGTTTGGTTGAGGGTGGTCGTCCGAACTCCAATTGGAGGGTGAAGTCTAACCATTCCTTAGTCGATAGGTTGAGAGGGTCGCATTAACGGCTTGGATCATATCTCATTTCCTCAACCTAGATACTAAGAGGGTAGCCTTAGCTACTTGTTAGACTTCCCTGCGGTTTAGAACCTCCTAACCACACACGACCATTCAATCCAACAAGTCATAATTGTTAGCCAGAGGGAGCAACACCCGAGTGAACTCTTCTCTCATTGGGACGACCTCGATTTACTTTACTTGCTTATTTTTATTTGTAATTTTCTTAGTCTTAAACCCAAAACCGTTTTGCTAGATAACAACCTAAGCGATTGAAGTAGTGGTACATGGACCGGTTGTGTATGACGATTAAATACTTGTCCTATACTGCACCCGGGTAGAGTTTAAAAACTTGGGCTCTAGTCGGGATTAATTGGCGGCGTAGTTCTGTGCGAGTCAAGAGGCGAGTCGGCCTGCTCGTATATGTTATTTGCAAAAAAAAAAGTGTTGGTATTTAACTTTTCTACAAGAAGATATAAAAAAACACTTCATATAATAGAAGGAATAATTGAGTCTAAATAGTTGAAAGATATGGTCTTAAAGTTTCTTTAGGATGGAAATATGATTTTAGAAGATAAAAAAAAGGAGAAATATAGATAGATACTTGTACAGTTTGTATAGAGTTTATAGCGGTTCCTAGAGCCTCCAACAGTACTGGCCACAGAGTTGCGCGTAAAGCATTTTCTATTGTCACTCCTAAAGTTAGAGTCTTTCAACTTTATTGGGTGGCTTCAGTAAGGTGTCTCTTGTAGGGGTTCCTGGGTAGTTTTGTTTGTATTACTCTTGTCCTCTCTTGATATCACTCAGAAATAAATAAATAAATAAGATAGAAACTTATACATATCTATGATACAACTAGCCGTGAACGGGGTGGAACATGTCAGAAGCAATACACATGCCCAACTCAATACTACTGCGGGTTGGGTATTACTTGCCCCAAACAGGTAAGGATGAATAAGTTGTGCAGGTCATGTATGAAATTGTCATCACTAGTTATGATGGTCCATAAACTTTCACTAATTAATAATTCTATTAAGCTTCCTCTTGGCTAAATCACCAAGACAAATACAATCAAACCTAAGCCAGAAGACCGAACCCCAATATCAGGAGTTTGTTTGCTTGATTGATTTGGTGGTGAATTTGATGATGAATTTGAATCTAATATGAATTTTTGTCAAAACTTCATTGTATTTTTCATGTATTTAGGAGCAACAAATTTGTGGGCACCACGGACTTGAAAATTCTAACTCTTTAAAACTAAGGTATCGTTTGCTTGTGGGATTTGAAAATGAGGGTTTTGGTCTAGATTTTGGTTTTGAAAACCTTAAGGATTTATTATGTATTTGGTGCATTGTATTTTTGTAAAGTCTATTGTTTGCTATATGATTTGATTATGGATTTATGTATTAGGGATTTGGTCATTAAAATGTAGATTACCACATTATCCTTTCTTATTTCTTTTGCCATATTATCTCTCACTTCGTGTACAACAACAGTCAGCAGAGCTCCCTTTGCCAAAGGCCTCCATCGTCCCTCCCATCTCCATCGTCAACCTCCAACTTACCTAGTTCCAGTGACCTGTTAGTGCGTGTGTGATCCTTCCACTGACGATGGCGCAATCCCTCGTTCCAGTCGCCGGATCGTCAGCTTTACCTTCACCTGCAATCGTTGGAGTGAGGTAAAATTTCTTTATATTCTTCTCCATCTCATGGCAAGTAGACGAAAGGGATCGAAGGTGGTGGACGACTTCGAATACGACGAGGAAGAGGTGACTTGTGATTGTGGGCTTATGGCTTCTCGAAGAATTTCTCACACAGCTACCACGAACACGAATTGAAAAAAAAAATTATGCCCAAATTTTGGTGGGATGGTATGTTATCCTCTCAGAAACGTCGACATTCCCCACGATCACCCATAATTGATCCAAGAGCTTCTACAGCCTTGCTAATGACAAGCTTCAGACCACCAAGCTCGGATACAACATTTGCTATGGCTTCATCATTATTGAACTCGAGCTTTTTAGCCTTCTTCTTAATAGTCGAGTTGCTGCCGACTCCAGCCTTTGCAGATTTCTCCTCCTTAATTGGCTGGCTTTGTGTCTGTTGAGGCCCTCCAGTTTCCCTTAGACTCTTCTCAATTCCTTTGCTCATAATGTCCATCAATATCTCTGTGCTCTTTGGATCTTCTAAATCAATTGGTGATTCTAGGTCGTCCAAATTCACAACCGTTTGAGGAGAGTAAACCGGGTCTGAAATCCCACACGTTACCCTTCCTTGAGCTGTTCCACCTTTGCCAAAGATCTGTAGAAGCTTATAGTAGTGTGGAAAAGGCGTTTTGTTGAGGTTCTTGGTATTCAGATGCACCTATAATAAAGTTTTAGCTAGTTTAACACATCGTACCTAAAATGTTGCATATGAAGTAACATTTTAAAAGCTTCTTGTACCTTTAACAGATCAGCAAACACATCATCATCTATCATTGGGGTGAGAGTCAGTTCATCCCATCCTTGTCTGCTCTTTGAACGAAGCAAATGTACAACCATAAAATCTCTTTTCAGCTTCCTGTGCCTCGATCGAATATTTGGCTCAACCTTGACCCCGCAACCAGGAAGCTTCTGGTTCATCATAGTTTTAAGCTTAGTAAAAGCTCCATTTTTAAAGTTCCCATTCTCCACTTGATGTTTCTCGACCAGCTCTAGCATACACTCTATGAGGATTCCATCAAGAGCCTCGTTCCAACAGAAGTACGGACCCTTAGGCTGAGGTGGGATAGGTTCTTCTCCTTCAACTTTGATTTCCTTTATTTTCCTGCCCATCCTGTGAAAGGTACATTCATAAATATGCAAGAAACATCATCACATTAATTATCTGTACATCTGCTCACATTCATTACATAAAGAGCATTTATTAACTGAAGCCTTTGACAGGTAGCAAACACAAGTCACATTCATTAACTAAATACCAAACACAAGTCACACAAACAGCTCACAATAATCAAATAACATCCAATAACTTGGGCAAAGTACTGCAAATGTTTGAAGATAGGAATAACCTGCTACATTGCAAATGTTTAAAAGCTAGGAACTAAGATAGAAATAGCATACAACGTAGCTAGCTAACTAAGATTCATAATCTACCACGCTTATTAGTCCACATATCATGTGCTAGCTTATCTCTAAAGTAGGTCCATTGGTCTGAAGGTTGAACTACAAAAATCACGTCCTCAATATGCTCGATGTAGGAAGAAGGGTACTGCTCGGGCTCAGTGCCCACGTATTCCCTCTCAAATGTGTCGACGCCTTGCTCTATTTTGTAAAATTATGTAACAAAAAGCAAGAATTCACGATTTGGACCATCACTTCAGGGGAGAACCAGCTTGCATCTCTTACAACAACCCATCTATTTTTGTTGATGCCAAAAGCACGCTCAATACTGTTTCTTGCACTTTCATGCTTCATGTTGAAGTATTCCTCTGCTTTATTTGGGGGCAATCCTCCCCACTCCTTCAGATGATACTGTTGCCCTCGATATGGAGTTAAGAACCCTTCAAAATTGCTATAACCTTGATCACACAAGTAATATATGCCTAGTAAATGAAACCAAACAGTAAGCTCTACATTCAGCAAATAGATTTTCAATCTTGTTTGTGACATGCTTAGCCTAATTACCTTTCAGAACCCGCAACCCATTTGGCCTTAGCGATGCATCTCTAAGCACCTTCCCATCATGAGTTGAACCTTCCCAGCCAGCTAAACAATATAAGAATTCCAATTTTGAATTACACACCCCCAAAACATTCATTGTAATTCCCCCCTTGCGATCCCAATATCTAGGCTGATCTTCATTCCTTACACGAACCTTGATATGAGTCCCATCTAGGGCCCCTAAGCAACCCTAAGGGAAAAAACAACTCTCTTATGCTAATGTCTAACTTTTTAACAACATACAGGAAATAAAAACGAGCTGCAATCACCTTAAAGAGTTTCCACTTCGCATCATCAGAGTTTTCAAGTATAGGTATTGGTTGAGGTAGTAGGACGGGATGGAGTCGGAGAATAGAACGAAGGACCTTATGGAACACTTTTGAAATGGTTTGCCCCGATCGACAAAAATCTTGCTGCAGTATCCTCTTCTTGATCTTATGTCCAATTGTGACAAAAAAAATCACCACCATCTCATCTACCCTTACATCGTCCATACCTTTTAACCCGCTCTCACTCACAAGTAATTCACACAGCTTCCTAAAAAATGTATGATTCATTCGAACCTTATCAATACATCGACAATCAGACAATTCAAGTGTGCGTCTCATATAACGACTTTTGTCATATTGACGATCAAAGATGTTATCTAGAGGGGTATTCCTCGGTCTCCTAGGCTCTAATAACCTTCTCATTACCAAAAGTTCCATCAGTTGGATCAGCAACGAAAAATAAACAAGCAACAGTCCTAACACTATACTAACTGCCTCCGCAACTTTCCGATTGCGCATGTTAGATACCCTTATCAATCGAGCCATTTCCTTTAGATAAATCAAAAGTAATAACAAGTTAGGAAGACATTTCTAACACCAAAACAATCACCAGCATAGCAAGAAGCTTGAAAATTGAAAGAACAAATCAAAACCTACAAACAGTAGGTTATCGACAACAAAAAACCAGCAGCCCACCCATAGAAGAAGAAACCATGTGCAACGTCCCATTCATTGCAAAGAAAATGAAATATTGATGTCAAAAGCAACCCTCACTACTGTCCATTTAATTAGGGTTGAAAAATCAGATTGGGGTTGTGGAAGGTGTACTTTTCGGAGATCTCATTCCATAGCCCTGACTCACCTGATTCAAGTAGTGCCTCCGGGGGCTGGTCGACGACAAAGATGGCGTCGGAGACGAGGAGGCTGGTTGCTACCTTCTTCGTCTACAACAGTTGAGAGAGCGCTTCCTATGCTCTCCTCCTTGTTACCTCTTTGCAAAAAGCTCCTAGGAAAAAGGAGATGAAGAATAATTAGATCAGGGCAAGGTCAGAAATAAAACGAAAATAGCTTGGACATGAAGGACATTTTACCCACACGTTTTTCTGCACATCACCAAATACCAAATAAAACTTGGTATTTATGAATCCGTGGGCTTCACAGATTTGACTAAAAAAAAGTGGATCTAAATACGTGGACCCCCACAGATTTGTGTACCAAATCTATACCCAACAAACAAAGGCTTTGCTAAAAAACATGATGGTTGGTATTTGGGGACCAAATCCATCGCCCAAATACCATTAGCAAACAAGGCCTAAGAGCAACATATATATATATATATACTTAGTGGTATACTTGAAAAAAAAACCCCAACAATCTCCTCAAAACTATCTCAATAATCTCAAGTGTTAGTGGAGATATTACTATCACTCATTTTGAGTGATAGTTTCCATCACATCAACAAAGCAATGAGTTTATTGTTTAAGTAAATAAATCAAAAACATGATGCATTGTTAACAATTTCATTGTAACAATCATATTGTTGTTGATTTTTTTTCTTCTTTCAACTATGTTCATACTTTTTTATGTGTATTGTAACAATCACATTGTTGTTGTGTTTTTTTCAACTATGTTCCTACCTTTTTATGTGTGTTGTTTTCTTATATAAAAACAAAGGATAAAAATGACATTTCGCCGAGAAAATAATATAAATTATTTAAATATTACAATAACTATCAAATAAATCAAACAATATAAATTATAATACATCGTTTTTTTATATACATAGTTAACAATATATAAATTTAACTATCATTAAAATCAAACTAGTTGAGTGCAACTTGCCAATGCAATGCAATAAATAAACAATGAGTGCAGCAAAGAAAACAAATAATAACCATAAAAAAAACAAAAATAAATAATAAACGGCTTATGATGAAATGATTGATGGTGATGATAGTCAACAGATGGCAGATTGGCAGCTCAGTCCAGTGGGAATATGATCTACTTGTCATACTTACTAGTAGAGTAGACATGTGACTCTGTGGATCCCGCATGTTCGGCCCAGTAATGGACGGCCCAGATGTCGTCGAGCGCAATTTGGGCACCGCCCATGTCATTTTGCTCGCTTTCTTTTTTTTTTTTTGTCATTTTCTGCGTCACCTCCACTAATTTGTTCCCTGAATTTCGCGCTCTCTCCCTTCCAAGTTCCAATCCACCAAAACGACGACACAGAGATGTGTATAGCAGAGTCCTTTTCATGAATGGAACTATACAGTCGAATTCTGCATGGATGCTCCGACTCGCAAACAGTAGAGTTTAGATGAAGATAACAATAGCAACGGGGTGCTGCGAGCGAATGAGGACGGATCGGGTCGGGTATAACTTATGGATATGATCAGTTTGTACCAGCTTATCTAATTTTAATAGGGTTAATTGCATGGTTGGTCATCGAGATTACAAAAAACATTCAAGTTTGGTCACTCGAAATATTTAAATTTATTGGTGGGACTTTAGTTTACTGAAACCGTTCACGTTTGATCACTCTCCGGAAATTTCGCGTCCGAGCATCAGAACTCGTTGGCGATCGTGAGCAGGAGCTCCTCCATGGTTGTCACTAGAGTGACCAAACGTACATGAACGGTTTCAGTAAACTGAAGTACCACCAGTGGATTTAAATATTTCGAGTGACCAAAATTGAACATTTTTTTGTAATCTCAGTGACCAACCATGTAATTAACCCAATTTTGATATATGAGAAATTGATATTTAGAATCTCAATTTTTACATGAAAAAAGTAAAGAGAAATAAATATAAAATCAATAAAAAGTAATTTATTTGAGAGATGAAGGCTCGATCGCATTGTGACATCGTTACCTTATGAAACAATTACATAATATAAATATGTCTAAATATTAGAGAAAATTGAAATAGAACAAGTTAAGAACAAAACGAATGTAAAACCCGTTTACAGCCTCGTGCTAACACACCGTATCAATCTCATCTCATTTCAGAGTTGGTGTAATTTGAAAAGAAGAGCATTGGGGGTTGAGAGAGCAACTAAATGGGGTGATTAAAATCAATGAAAATGAGTTGAATCGATTCAAACAACAAATTGCTGCTAACATTCAAACTAACATAATGATTATGAGAGATGATTATGTAAAATATTGAAATCTTTGTAGGCTTAAGGTGCTTCAAATTTCACAACACCATAATACTAAGAGGTCATTGAGGTCTGTAATTATAAGATAATGATAACTACATCCAGATAAAATATCATGCATGCAATTACTACATCAATGTTTGAAAATTATAATGTGGTTGATGAATACGCTTTCCAGTAGTTATGAAATATCATTGGTTGGTTTGAATGTGAATGAAATAACGAGCTACTTTGCCACAATCGCAAATGTCAAAAAGGAGAAAAGGCAACATTATTATTGCTGCTGGTTGTGTTATGGGTTTGCAGTAATGCACAGACGACTATAACAAGGAGATGGAGATGAGCGGTTGAAGAAAAAGAAGAAGATAAGGCCGTGGGAAATTAACCAGACCAGAGAGAGTCGGCCGGCCGCCGGTACACTGTTGACCGACAGGCAGTTCTCGGCCAAGATTTGAGGATCCTCTCTGATCAATTAACGAGCTTTGCCTGCCAGCCTGACTCATTCGCCCATTCCCAAGTTCACCTCATGATCATAACCAAACCCACTCACACATTTGCCCTTCAAATTTTACCGCCCGCCGACCAATTATTGCCCAAATCTAACTTACGGTATCCTTGGTATCCTTGTTACTAGTGTCTGGCAGGTATCTCAATATTCATGCTCCGTTCCACGTTATTGCGGGTCGGGGCGGGTAATACTCGCGTGAATATGGAGCGAGGCGGATCGACCCACTCTTACATGTTATTTGAGAAAAATACACGCAACTTTTATTTATTACGATAAAAAGACTAAGGGATCATTTGGTTTTAGTGATTGTTTGGTTGTGATAGTTACAATATATACATATATTGTTTTGTTGATGTGATGGAAACTATCACTCAAAATGAATGATAGTAATATCTCTACTAAAACTTGAGATTGTTGAGATAGTTTTGAGGAGATTGTTTGGTTTCTTTTTTGTTCCAATTATATATATGTGTGTGTGTGTGTTCTAATAAAAGCAAGGGCAAAAGTGATCTTTCCCACAAAAAGCAATATAATTTATTGAATACTAAAAGAACTATATCCAAAATCAAACAATACAAAGTACATTATATCATCTTCCTTAATTGCATGTATATTACAATGCATGCATTGATCATAATACATTGATTTAAGTATTACCAAAACCAAACCACCCATAAGAAAACACTTTATGAATGAAAAATAGTGATAATAGAATGAGTAATTGAGTCTAATAGGTTGAAAGATCGACTCTAACTAGTTGAAAAAGGTTAAAATAGGAGAAATGTCAAATATGCATGATATTGTAAGAAATTGAGATAGAATGAGACAAGAATGGGGCGGGCCAGGCCAGGCGGGTCAGAAATAGATACCCACACCTCACCCGATCGCGGGTCAGGGCGGGTAATACCCACGGGGTGGGTTCAAATTTCCATCACTACTTGGTACTGCTTGGTAACAACTCTCTCCATGCGTTGGAATATTTAAAAGGAGTGGGGCAGATAGCTTAAGTCTCCGGCTCTCGATCTGCGTATAAATGTTTTATAAGTTTTGAAAATTATCGGCAAAATACATATGTATAGCCATAACTATTAGCTTTGTGACAACAATAGCTACTTTTTGGGAAATACATAAAATAGCAAGATTTTGGATGATAGGTT